CTTGTACATTGCTGTCAGAGTAGGTGACTCTTTGCTGATTATTTTTCATATTTCACCTCAACACATACTAGAGTGCAGATAATCGAAATATACGTAGTTTACGCCAATGTGATTTGTAATAAGTGAACCAAGACTCCATGAAGTGACGATAAAAGGAGCATGAAAAAAACACACATGGAGTAGATTGCGCTTCGATACATTTATCGCATAGTACTGTGCGTCGCAGTTCAATGACCTCCGCAGTGGCGCTAATAAAAGAGGGCGTGAGAAGAGAACGACTCGGCAAAGTTAGGCTCATTTTCACATATTTTGTACTCCATACCCTGAAATTAACGATATCGAAATTCTGAACTTTGCTTGTGCACCCTGCTATAATTTTTAGTGAGTCGAAGTGAGTCACTTTGGATCCCCATAAGGCGAAAACTGTGTTGTGCCTCCTTGTCTATTTGGTAGCAGAACACAGTTTTCGTCCTATGGGGATTTCTATGGACCCCAAGATGACTCACTTAATCGAATATGTTTTAGAAGAAGGCACAAACTACAAAATATCTAGAAACCACAAAATCCTGTCGGCGTATCTGCTCGTGACGTACACTTTGAAATCGCCGTCTACGGACGTGACCTGAACTGCAGCCGACTCACCCGGAAAGCCAGTTGCGTCATACGGCGCATTTATACACGAACTGCAAAACCTTCACAATTCAAATCATACAGTCTCAAACCCGATACATTCTTACACCACGCAGCGCGATTTATATCTGGCTGACGCGCTTATCAGGCTTTCTACCCAGCCTTCAAGAATATTCACTGCACTACTTTCTATACCCGCGTCATATTATCGCCACTGTGTTCTGCTACCATATTTGGGTTATCAGGAATAATGGCTATCATGACCTCTTGACCTCTCCTCTCAGCGTTGACCAAAATACGACTGTGCACGACTATTTAACGATCGGGGTCGTAGAAAGATCGTTAAATGGTCGTAATATGGTCAATGGGACTTTATACATTCAGAATGGCAGTCGTGTTTCAGTCGTTGTAAGAGTCGTGATGAGGTCGTGCAAAATAAACGACTCGATCCAGACTTCTATACGCCCCAAGTCAGACCGATCAACGACCTGCCCGTGCACTGTGGTGCCTTGATATATCCAATTTTCTACAATATTTTGTGCCTTTTCCGGCCTACTATTTAAACAGCAAAAGACGGCTACTACGCATTTCGCACACGGCCAGACGACAGCGGTAACAGGACATATCCCGTGCAGCCAAATACTCAAAATTCCGCTTACATGAAAACGCCCCCCTCCCCTCCCCTATCCGAGCGATACTATTTTTAGGACGGTATGACTGCTGCTAAGCTTCAGCTAACGGTAGATTGATCACAAAAGGACGAACATCCTTACCGTGGGACTGGAATTCCTCTGCTTAACACTTAAGTGGATCTAGACTAACAAGAAGCTCGCAAAGACACGACAAAGCTTACCGAATCGTAGGGTTCGCGTCGTATGTCCGAAAATATATTAATGGCTGAAGGTCAGAGGTTAACAGCAGGGCGGTCCACTGATCCGTAGGGGTGTGAGGCTCAGGAAACAATTTTCTGCACTTTTTAAACCAAAATGCATGAATTTGGTGAAAACAATCTATCATCATATAAAACTAACCCTTAAAATGTTCAAACCTGTAGATTCTTGTAATGAAATGTGGCAAATACAGTGTAAACTAACGTTACACATTGCTAAGCAGACGACCCCCAAAATGGCGGGAAAATCACGTCAGCCGATGTTTGAAGGGTTGACAGATCGTCTTTCATGATTGTTTGCACAGACCCAGACTGTCCTGACTTTAGAATGTCCTCCGATCGCCTGGAATGAGGACATTGATAGAAAATACGAGGCAATGAACCTTGAAACTAGAAATAAAAGGGAAGAGAATGTGTATGTGTTAGTTAACCGTCAACTTTAACACTTTATGGGATTACTCGTCAGCAAACAAAGTTCCTTCTTCAAAACGTTCTTTGGATAAACAGAAAAATCATTTATTTCAGGAGCGAACTTATATTATTTTTGTGTATATAATCTTTCACAGCAGCGTACCAATCTAAAGGAAGGTAACTAGCCAATACCAGCGTTTAGTGCCAGTTGTGTCACAGTGAGTGTCTGTGGGAGATGTCAGAAGTCATCAATGAAACAACTGTTGTTGTTTTTTATATGATATCATCTTCCTAACGTGAATATATGAATAAAACACCGAGTAGGATACAGGAAAGTTGTTTACAGTGTCACGTGATGGCACGTTCAGCACCAAGGACAGACACGCACATTCCTGGGAACGAGAATCCCAAGTGCTGCCTGTGATATAACCAGAAGGTTCGCTCTATGGCGGAGGGCCGTATTTTGACAACTAGGAGGAGTCGTAATTCCGACTTATGTTCCATGCAAACGCACATCATACGCTTGGCAATAGTTTGTCTGACCTAAAACCCGCGCAACATGAGCTTTGATATGGACAGATAAAGATAACAACGATTAAAGCTGCACAGCTGTGTATTTCACTTCAGTGCAGCGCCTTGTGCCCAAGCGTAATGGTTCGCGAAACTTACGGCAGGTTTTGGTCATTTTGCTTTCCTTGTTGTTTTGTGTGTTTGTTTGTTTGTTTTTACAAAGTTATACAAGTAGACTTTCTTTCAGCATTATTGTCCATAGGACAAGACAGGAACTCTCAGAAACGCAGGCGTGGTAGCGACCCCTGTCGACATATGGTGTTGGTCCAAGAAAGTCTTGCAGATCGAGTTTGCTGAAACATAATGGATGTCGTACGGTGGTATCTCGCAAGTCGGTTGCCACGTGAACCTTACCCTGGTCTAAAGCTGCATTGTGTAACGTTAGGACGATATAAAAAGTCAATTTTCTGGTTATTTCTTAACAAAATAAGTTGAATCAACCCTACTCCGTCACAAATGAGTGTCACTCAGGAAGTCGAGGTGCCAAAATAGGACGCCTTACGAATGTGTTTAAAAGCAGGGAAAACATCTGTCAGCCATGTTTGTTTACACTCTGGTATTTTGTGGTGGTGCCAAAAACTGAATTCGCCTCGCGTTTATTTCAACCATAAATGTCAGAAATGCGATGTGAAGTGGAAGTAAATTACAATCACATGAAGATTTTTTTCAATTAAAATATTTTCATTTTTGGTGCAAAAACGTTGCATAATTCCCCTTTAACAGGTAGCGTATCATGTACAGTGATTTGTAGACAGACGTGGATTAACATACTTGTATCCCGTATTTAACACGTACGACACGTAGTATGTGTACGCGCTGGCTGTCTGTCATGTAATATACTAACCCATCACGTTAACGTTTAAATGGGACAATGCTTTTACGTATGCATGCCATAGAATCACATGGCCCAGGAGCATGCAATATAGCATCTCTTCTCCTGAGTCAGAAACACCAGGCTTTGGGCAAGCTTGACTAACCGACTCAATAGGCGAAGCAGTGATAACATGATGACTTCTAAGGACATATTCTAATTCAGAGTACATTATTAGCAATAACCATCACATATACATGTATTTGTAGAATCTGCCTTATAAATGCACAGCTCCATTGCTCTACCAGCCTATAGGCGGTACATGTACATGACTGGCCGCACGAATTTCTCACCTTACCTTTCGACTAGGTATTTACCGCTGCCGCTTATATGTGAAGTCTGGCCCCATTCCATCCTGGCAGCGCTCCGATATGGTACCGACGACCATAAATAGTGCAGAGGTCTCTGCATGAGACTAATACCACTCTCTTAAATATTTAGCGGTTTGCTGATTGTCCTATCCGTGTCCTTAACATTGACGTCTACAGAACGTCTAAGAGGTTTGAAGGGATTGGGGAAAATCTCTTTGTCGTCAAGGCATAACCTTGTGGTATTTTTGTACAGTTTAAAGACCTCCCCACGTTGAAAAGTCGTTATGCTGTAGTGGATGTTGTATCATATTTCGCGTTATGACAGCGGACCGTGTACCAAAATAACGGTGTCTGTCGAGAGTGACGCGATACCTTAGATCGATCGCTCATTTGTTGTGCATCATCTAGAGGGGGGTAATGAAATGTGGATCGCTTCGCAAGGCAAAGGTCGGCGGTGGCAGTGAACTTCTGTAGGTGCGTCTTGTGAAAAGCAGACCGTTCTCGGAACTACGTGACCCTAAGCTTTCGGCACGTCATTTTTCGCAAATTCCGGAGTCATCATTAAGAGAGACGACGCGGAAACAACAATGGTGAAAGTGCGCTTCGGTCTGGTTACCTATGTGGAGGAGGATGTCACTGTCTCCTTGGTCGGTTCAGTGAAGGAGCTAGGGGGATGGAACCTGTCGAAAGCCATCCCTCTTCACCCGGCGGTTCCCCCCGAGACCACCGCCGAGCCTTCCTTCTGGGTCTGCGACGTCGAACTCTACAGGGGAAGCGAGCCCGCCATCTTTCAGTACAAGTTCGTCAGGAGGGCCGCTGGTGGGGAGGGGGGCGAGTGGGAATGGGAGGGGAGCGGCCCCGGTCACAACAGATGGTGGATCCCGGAGGAAGAGGAGAAGAACATGGTGGGGAACGGCGTGTACCTGACCCCGGTGGCCACGTGGAAGGAGCCGGACGGAGACCCGCACACTCTGGAGCACACGGCGAGCTTCTACTACAACATCTGCGACTCGCGGACCATGCACTACTCGGAGGTGGTGGAAAACCTGTGGGTGGGGTCCTGTCCCCGCATCCCTGCGCACATCACACACGGGATGAAGACAGCCCTGGGCGTCACGGCAGTCATCAACCTACAGAAGGAGGAGGACGTCTGTACAGACTCCGCAGGCTGCTGCCCTGAAGGTAAACAATTAAACACAGTACGATTAAACCTGCCCAGGAAGGCCAACTAGTTTGGGAACCAAGGTAAAGAGTCCTCAAACTAGTTGGGCCCTAAACTAAAGACTTCTTGAACAGGTGGCATTCTCAGGCAGGGCGCTCAATGCTTGCACCAATGGAAGAAGCAAACTTCGGGACCGGGAAAACCTGCGGTGGTTGTTATGGCCAGATGCCCGGCTTGATCATGATGAGATGGCCGCTTGTGCATGTAGCCAGACCATCGTAGGCTCGCCAGTATATCTACAGTGCTGGAAGTGTTGCCCGCCTGCCCAGGAACCTTACGGCATATCCAGGGTCTTTACGGGGTCGGGTTTGCTTCGCCTATGCGACAGTGGTAATCAGAAAGGCCGGTTAAAATTATTCATGGGCAATCAGAAAATAAGGTCTAAGCTCAGGGCCTGGGCCAGTAAACACTCCTAAGCTAGCGCGTACAATGGTAATTAGGTTGAAAGAGTCAGAGTTTATCGAAAGTTGTATCTTTCTCAAAGTTCTGACTGCAGAAACATATCACAAAAACTGTAAGTAATAAAAAAATGACCTCCAACTTTCAAACAGCAGAAAGCAGCTGCACATAGTGTTGCCATAACTTACATATACATAATAAACAGACATATTGCCAAATATAACACCATATTTTATGACTGAGTTGTCTAGTTTGAAAACTGTACCGCTAATTCGCCATAATCGCTCTAGTAGAAGTAGATACATATATTCTGTGTAATACTTGACATTCTTTGCTTTAAAAGTTGAGGAATTCCTGTATGTTCTGACAAATTATGAACGTGGAAGAAGAGTTTTAATCGAGCTTGTGATGAAGTGTGTCAGCTACTGATCTTTGACCCCTAAATCCCCTCCAATGTCAAATCAACAGTACTGGTATTTTCCCAAGGGCGTACTGCTTATAGTTCACGGCGGGGGGCAAATCCTTATGTTAGTCTTCACTATCAACGTAAAGACAGAAGCACTCAACAGCTACAACTTTAGACATGTATTTTTCTAAATCGTCTCGATAATGATAAATAAGAACTTGCGTCAAATCAACGTTTTATTCAATTTCGTTAAAATGGTTTGCTATACTTATACCGTACAAGTCAGTCTTTGTAAATATGCAAAGTACAATTTGAAAACTTCCCTCGAGTTAAGTACTCATTATCCTGTTGAAGGGTGTAAAGATATTTTAAGTCACATTTTATACATTAAAACCATGCTTAAACTAATCCATTTAAGCCAGTATTCCTGAAATAGACACGCCCAGACATTATATGGCATGTAAGTCGAATGCTGTTGAAATGTGCATTGTCTGGTTTGCAACAAAACAGAAGACAGCAGGCGATTCGTCGTCTTTCGAATCTTGTTTGGACAATCCGTGAATGCGTTCACACATTGATTGAGGTGGTGTCTGTTTCCTCACGCCTATGGCATAGTCTGCCTCATTCTGAGAGTAACAAAAATCGCTGTCACAATCTTTATTAGGCAACATGCATGTCGGCCGCCATGTTGGCCTAGTTTTGTGATACTTGTTTTGGAGTGTAGCTGTGCAGATTGTCATTCGTAACCCCCATGCCATGCCCCCCTCCCCTCGCGTCCTTTATTGGTCATATTGTATTACATGGGTATGCGTAGATGAAAGTTGAATAAACTCGCCTTTACGTAAAAGGATCCGGACCATATAAAACTAAACGCTAATATAGGGTCGCTTTGAGGATATTCTAGTCTCTTATTCTCACAGGATTACATATTTGATAGAAACTCAGAATTAATAAAGTATGCATAAATATCCTGCAAATTAAAAACTATGTCGAGTCTGGGCTAATAAAACAAACTTTTGATGCTTTAATATGCAATTCAGTCAACCTTATTAGCTGGCTGCAATGTGCTTTTTGTATGTGTTATATGTGTAATTTTTATCATATCAATATACGCATGCAGTCTAAATTGATTCTATGGCTATGTTCTTGTTACACTTATTCTTCAGTTCGCTGTACAGACGTCCCTGAAAACCTCTCTCAGCTGTATGCAGAACACGGCATCTCCTATCTCTGGATTCCGGCTAACGACTGGGATCCTAAGAGCAAGGTTGGAGTGCTCCCCGCCGCCGTGTACAAGCTATGGGAACTCCTGAAGAGCGGCCACCACGTCTACGTCTACTGCAACGCCGGCATCATCCGGTCCGTGCTGGTCGTCTGTGGGTACCTGTACTACGTCCTGGGCTGGCCGTACAGAGTCATGGAGTACCACGTGTGCTCACAACGGCCTGTGGCCTGCGTCGATCAAGACATCATCCTAGAAGCCGAGAAAGAGTTTCAAGAGAAGTTCGGGAGCGACGTCCTAGCGGAGAGATGCACGGAGAGTCCTCGGTCGTACCAACCTCAGCCGCCGCCGAAGATACCCGCTATACAAGCGGCACAAAGTGAACAGCAACCTACCGAACAGAACGCCGATGAGGAAGACCCTCACTTCGTAGCTAAAACTAAAATAGTTCTCCGTAGAACGGTGGATTTTCCATCGGAAGAGGGGGAAGAGTAAGGTTCGAATCCAAAGTAATTAATTTAGTTCAATGTGGGTTGTTACTGAAAACGTCTTAAGTACTTTGAACTGTTGTTTTCCTTTGAAATACTTTGGAATGATAGTTAAGTTTGCATATGTACGTATCGCTGTTTATGAAAAGTGGAAACTCTCAAAGCAATTGGACATTGTCCTTCAATTACACACCTCGTTGCCTTGTGATCAATATAGATATCAGTATTTTAACTTGTTCAATCAGTCTTTTTTTATCGAGGTTTACCACGAATTGTGCAAAAATTGACATAACAGGTGACTATCAACTTTTGAAGATGTCAACACTGAGAGACCAGACTGTAAGGTTTGAACCACTCACACCGGGAAGGACCCCCTACTCCTTTCGAAAGTGTGGCGGGCTCTTTAGCGTGCTTGAGGTGTGGCTCTCCTGAAACACCGGACCTTCGCTTTATGTCATATCCGTGAAGACGTCCCCAACCGAAGCTAGGTACTCCTTTTCTCCTGCGTCGAGTAAGGAAAGTAGTGCCTTTCAGGGAATCTAAAACAGAACCTCTGAGTCACCAACGTTAAATGTTGTAACAGAGCTTTAAATTTAGTGTGTTGAAAAATAAACTAGCAACAGTTTGCAAAGTTGTACTGTATTTTCTGCCCTGCATTTACTGTATAATTTCTAAGTTTCGTAGTGCAGAATCGGTAGATATACCGTTCCTTGGTTGTGGCTGTGTATAGTTGGATGCACATTTCCTATCTTGATAATTCTTTCCATCGCACAAAATAAACACACCGATTTACATAATACAATACAATCATCGTGCCATGTACTCGTATAGTGAATTGCTCACATCATTACAATACAATGATACGTCCATAAAGGTTAGACTCTAGACATCCAGGTAATGAGAAACACAAGAGAACAGTTACCCAAGCAAACGGCTAAATTTTCAAAACTGGCAGACGCTTCAAGCCACTAAAAGTAGCGGATGCTACTTGAAACTTCTTACAGTTTTCAAAATCTATCCAGTTACTTGATTACCAGTTTTATTGTGTATATTGATACGATGGTTGCGACTCTAGTACTTAAATGGTGTATTGACTATTCTTGATGAAGTAATTATCTACGTTTATGAAAGTGCAACTTGACATGTTGATACCTTGACGTTATACCTTAAATATTCTCTTACTCATCGTAACAATGCCAATTACTTAATTATCTAGATATCCGGTTGACGCGATGTCTTGCAAGAAGTTCAAAAATAGTGCCATTACACGTCTGAACTTTACATGAGCGCTGTGTGCTACACCTGTATCTCCTTATAAGGGCATACCTGTTTATGAGTCGTGGTTTACGTCATGGGGATTCCCCCCTCGATGATGTCATACTTGTTTTGATCATGTTTGCAAAGGTCACAAATGAATAGCTAGCTGGGTGCACAGGTTAAGTGTATAACCTTACATAGGTGAAACTCGTAATGCTACTTAAATGGAAACTACGACACACCCACCCTTTGTATAGGCTTGTACAATGGCAAATTGTGGACGCTATCAAGTAATTACATGTGAGGTATAATTTATGACTTTAAGTTGCTTTCGACACTTGAACAACAAAAGAGTAGACACTTGTGTCATGACATGGAAATCACACGGGACTAGAACTTCTGGTTTCTACAACAGACATCATGACGTTATATCCTCTGCAATCATCAGTGCAATGTTGTAAAATAAAGATTGGCCTCTTTTTTTCGTAGAAAGGTAGAAAGTACTTAACTCTTCTGTGCTCATGGCGTAACGAATACATTAGTGAGTGTCGTGCAATGAATAGATTTGCCATTGAGAGCTAGAAGTAACATGTCCTATGTCAACAACATGCATTACGTGGTGTCGGTCGCCAAGCCTTGACCTGTCGTACACTATAATAAGTTGAATTTCGTAGTTTCTTTTCCTTCAAGGCGCAACGAGGAAAGATTCTACAGCAAACGAACTGTATAAATTAAAACTTAAGGGAATTGCTAAAACAATGTTATCCTTGGAAAAGCTGACAGAAAAGGGAAATGAGGAACAAAACAATGCACCAACATGACCGCCAATGACCCTAAATTTCTAAGCCCAGCAGTACATGTGTGTGTCGAGTATCGGTATTATTATATAGTTATCACTGGTGTGTACTTTTGTGGTCGCTATTGGTTATTTATTTGCCAGTTTGACATGCTAAGGAGACATTGGACGTATTTAATGTCAAATATTAACAGTCAGTTTACCCGAAGTCAATAAATAGAGCCCTGCGACCTAGCTACTAAGAAACCCAATGAAAACAACCTACATTGAATGAATGAATTCAAAGACCTTTTTTTAAGTCACTGATGAGTAGTGTATGCTAAGTGAAACGTCTGTCACAGTTTTCAAAACCTGTCCAGTTGTTAGAGTAACATTTTTCTTGTGTATCTGAGTATCTGGATGTCTAACCTTCATCGAAGAATACCAATACTGAACATTTTAGCTCGTTGAACTAAACACCGGTCAGGTCACAAAAACGTGTTTGCAAATACACACAGGTTGGCATGAGCATAGATAAGTAATATACACTAGTAATTTCAGCCTTCAAGTTTGGACCAGTCGGGGCATGTATTCAGGTGATGACAATCAAGATATCGATATTCATTTACGATTCAAAGTTAGAATTGATCTAGAAATGGCCCCCGGAAGACAATATTTTCAATCTACGGCCTATTGCTCAAAAGGAACTTAGAAATGCGCAAACAACCCACGTACCCAAACAAATGTAACGTTGTATATACAGAAAAAACAGCTTTACTTAGAAAGCTACAACGAATGTGTCCCGAGAAACTGTATCGGTATACCTCGAACTTAAACTTATCTGGTCGCATTGGTTTGGTGTCAGTCACAAGGTTCTCTGAAAAAGGCTTACTGAGAAAGCTAAGTCCACAATAGTACGCCTTCGCACAAAATTCGCCGCAAAGCTACAACGGTAGTCTCTCCGAGAAACGGCATCGGTATGCCGCGAACTTCATGGTGAAAGTTACCTGGTCAGATATGTTTGCAAACTGAGAATGTCAATCGCAAAATGTAAGTACTCGCGGAAAATTGCTTACTGAGAAATCAGGTCCACAAGAATACGCCATTAGAATGAGAACACCATTTCGCAAAATTCGCCGAAAGCTACCACAAAAGTGTCTCCGAGAAACTGTATCGGTGTACAACGGACCTTGTGGGTGGTGAAACTTACCTGGTCAGATAGATTTGACAAACTGAGAATGTCAGTCACACAAGATACTCGGAAAAAGGCTTACTGAGAAAGTTAGGTTCACAATACAACGCCGTTGCAGTGAGAACGCCATTTCACAAAATTCGCCGAATTCGAAAGCTACAACAAAATGTCTCCTACAAACTGTATCGGTATACCGCGAACTTCAGTTTTAAACTTACCTGGTCAGATAGATTTGAAAAACTGAGAATGCCAGTCACAAGGAACTTGAGCTGGGAAGGTATAATGTCCACAATAGTTCGCCATTGCACTGAGAATGCCATTTCAAATTCGCCGAAAGCTACAACAATAGTATCTCGATCCGAGAAACTGTTTCGGTATACCACGAACCTCATGGTGAAACTTACCTGGTCAGATAGGTTTGACAAACTGAGAATGTCAGTCACAAGGTAGTTGGAAAATGGCTAACTGAGAAAGCATAAGGCCCACATTAGTACACCATTGCACTGAAACGTTATTTCAACAAAATTCGCCGAAATGCGGAAGTGTAAGATATACATCGCGTCTCAGTAACCCATGGCCAAGGAAATCTCGCTGATGTACAGTAGGTAGTCGCGCGCCAGAATATAATGTTACACAAAGATACCCATGGGTATGTTATATCCATTTGGAAAAACCTATTCTGCAAAGGCCTTCATATACAGGACTGGGCTGCTTCTTGGAAAGACTCACATTTGAACGAAAGATGTGGTTCAACTGTTCTGCAAGAATACACAAATTTCAACTACTGCAATGTACGATTCTTATGAACGCATCAAAGTTTATTGTATAGTAAGGTGTCTGTATTTTTTTGCAGAGCTGTTTTGCTTCATTAAGTTGTAGCTCACAAATGTGCCATACACCAAGGAGCTTCCATCACCCAGCTCCAGCTTATTTCGAACAATAATTCTTGAGACAAACTTGTTTTGATCATACTCTTTTTATTCCTGGCAAAATCAAAGCAGTACAGTCAGTGTCACCACATGGTTGCCTGAATACAGTTCTTCTGCAACATACACGAAAGGTTGACACTTCCTTGAGGCACTTCACAAATTAAGATATGCCAAGTACCAATAACAAGATTGACTAGTATTAACACCACATTCTAGGCAATAATACAGATGCCTGCAAGATACCTATGGAAGTGGGCAGGCATGCTGTCTATGTTCACTGAAAGTTGTCTTATACAAACAACTGTAAAACAATCGCATTAGCTCTCCTTCAACTTTTTCAATATTACTACAGTCCTAAATCCTTCACAACAACAACACATTCGTATACCTCCGATACCCTCGTCAGTCAAACCCATTAAAATCTTCATAAGCTTTGACATGTGAGTCAAACGCTTTTGAAAATCCGAAACACCAAAATGTCCAACAAAACTCCCCTCTCTCGCCTTTATCCGTATGTCTTCAACTCTCAAGCCTTCAGCTATATATCCTTTCCTTCAACGTCAAACTCTACCCACGTGTATCTTGTAAATTAACTTCTCCTGAGTACTCTTCTTGGCTAATTACAATTCAATTGACACAGCAATCTGAAATATGTCTGGTCCAATACTTTTAAAGTCTGGCTATGTATCATATATCTGTCTATTGAAATTTGTTTCTTCAGTACATAACAGTTACATGTTTAGTATACTGTAAATAATGAAGAGTATTGTAACTTTCTGTTGATCTTCCTGAAATTTAACCAGTTCACATCATTTACATTGGTACATGAGGAAGTCAATAGGGTCCACATGTATGTAGAAATCGTTCTGTTATTGGGAGTTGAAAAGTAATAAAAGCATCTCTTACATGTCAATAAAATCTAAATGTGACTTGAAATCTGGTTTCAATTATGAGTTGATATTTCCTTAAGGCACAGGTGTTTTGTGAGTTTATGAAAGTTGTTATGATACCATGGCTATTATGACAATGCTGGTTGCCCCCTCCCCATTTTTAAAGGATTTTCTTTTCTTTTTTTCGTACTTAGTACATACACTTTCTCGTGAGCATGTATTCCATGCTATTCTTTACATGACATTTAAGTCATAAGATCCCCAAAGGATCCCAAAAGGTGTCTAGGGGTGAATTTTGGAACAAAGGCAAATTGAAATACTGTGCGGCACAATTGCAATGAGCCCTAAAACATACATGTGTATATAAACCAAATAGCACTGCAAACATAATTTTGCATTACTTGCATTTTTTGTTGCTGCAGAATGAATCTAGCAACCAGATAACAATGCAAACATACTTTGCATATTATCTTGCATTTTGTTGCTGAAAATCTTGCCCAAGTAAGTTACAATATTTTTTTAACCTCCTTGCTCTGAGCACATCTTTTACCTTACCCAATCATGCCCATATTTGGTCGTGGGTCCACCATGCGCAGGCGCTGTTCTGCGGTCACGTGATGGAGGATGACGGTGATGAGTGCCTGGGTGTTGGGTGGGCCTGGGTCCTTCTGCCCGAGGTTCAGGAACACCTGGGGAAATTACATTTTATTTCGATTTAAGTTACTTTGGTTATTGTTTATTTAGTAAAATGGGGGGTCTCATCAATTTCTCATTAATATTTCTCATAAACTTACAGACCAAGAAAAAACTAACTATTAACTTCCCAAAACCCACAAATTGGTCATTACGTCTTCCATGGCTTACAGATCTAGAAGAGAAGTCCTTCAGACATAGTTATAGTTCTAGACAGCTACCTTTATCATGTAGACTTTAGTTATTTTATACTCTATTTCATTGTTCTTTTATGTTTTGTAATTTGCAATTAGCCTCCGGGCACGAATTTGCAATTAACTTTTCATTAATTTTTATGGTCAATATTGCCTCGTGGTTTTATGTATCAGTTTTGTTGTAATGTATGTGCGTCACTGATTTTATTTGTTATGCCATGATTTTCTCTTGTGTTTTTTTTTTTTCAGAAAATGATTAAAAAGAAAGAACTTGAAAACACCTGGGTCTCCGGGCGCTCCTGGCTCATCCCGGTCGCGTAGTCCTCCAGCCCCCGCATGAACGTGGCGTAGTCGAACACCTTGGTTCTGACGGCCTTCCTCAGCGTGACGACCCTCCCGCCGGCCATGCGGCAGAACACCCGCACACGGCAGTGTCGGGTCACGTACAGGTCGTTATTCACCACCCGGAAGTCAATACCTGTGAAAACAATGTAAATGACACCCTATCAAACCATTGTTCTTGTGAGTTTGCAATCATCCCTCGGGAATGAACTTGCAAGAAAGAACTTAGAACTTCAGGTCAATCTCCAAGCAGATCAAACGGTGGTGGCAAGGCTGTATCTTTAAACCATTGGCCAAACGAGTGACCGGTGGTGGTTAATGGCCACTCCTTTGGCCATGCTCTTGTTACGTACATGCCAGCAGCCTTGCCACCATAGGATCGGCTTGGGGATTATTGGACATCACTGCAGAGAAGTCGGTTTAATATAAAACGATAGAAGTCAGCACAAACAGCCCAGGTTATTTTGCCTAGCTTCTCGACCACCCCCTCCTACTGAGCCCTATCCATCCTTCTCTTCTTCCGCTTCTTCTTTTCCTCAGCCTTACATCCACTGTCCCTGCTAGAGGCGTAAGGGCCTGCTAGAAGCGTGATATAGTCAGGCGTAGGGTAATGACTAGTAGAAGGGCCTGCTACAAGCGCGATGCAGGCAGGCTGGGGGCCTGACCAGTGGAAGAGCGCAAGGAGCGTGAGCATCATGTCTGACCAGTGGAAGGGCTGCTTGAAGCGTGATGTAGTCAGACTCGGGGCCTGACCAGCGGTGGAAGGGCTGCTCATGAGAAGCGTGATGTACTCGCGCTAGAACACATGACTACCTCTGTCGAGGTGGCTGAAGATCCTGGTGTACTGCTCCTTCCTGACGGCGTTCCCCTCGGTGTACTGCGGCAGCGCCACCAGCTCGGCGACGGCGTGGAACCCGTTCTGGAAGTTGGGAGGATGGAGCACGCACCCGCGGGACGGCTTGGTACGAAAGAGCCGGTTGTTTCCGTAATGCGGCTCGATGAGTAGCTCACATCCTGTCAAAAGAGAGAAACCTGGTTGTTAATTCAAACTATATTCCGTTTTTTATTGGGTTGTAACAATTTTTTTTAAATGAGGAAAACCAGACAATAGTCTTGTTAACAGTTTTCTTTTTTTTTACTTTTCGACGTTACTGAGACTCAGGCAAAGGCAGGAAGTCAGAAAAAGGACGTTCTGCTACTGATGAACAATTCCCCTGCATACCAACATGTCTGTTATGCAAACGACATCAAATTATCAGACTACCGAATAGACTGGCTAAGATAGGTGGCAAAATATCCTGCCCTTCCTGCCTCCCGAATGAAAATACTTATTCCGTACCTACCATACTACTAGCATCCCTTCGGTTCTTACTGGGATGAATAAATACGAGTACCCTTCATATGACCTCACTATTAAAGCTCTTCCATATTTTGTAGGAGAATTTCTAACCTTCATCCAGACTTGGTGACGCATGGTGTCCGTTCAGGTTGTGATAAGCGTCATCTGATAAAGGTAAGGGATAAGGTTGGAACCAAGACACATGGTTGAACACATGCACATAATTCTGTTCTCTCCATACGAAGTAAAAGATTAATTGTATGTAGTCAATAGATGGGTGGAAAACAAAGATAGGCAAAAATGTTTCTGAAATTGGTGGGCGTCACAATTTGTTTCAATGTTAGTAAGATATTACTGTAATTTTCCTGTTTTTTTTATCATGACCTGTACTTAGCTTAAAGAGCATAAACGTACAATAAAGGTCTTTCAGTCATTCATTCATTACATTCAATAAAACGAGTCTGGCTGATGGAATTTGAAGATCAGAAAAATCAGTATATGGAAGTATGAAAGGGCCTTGTGGCTTGTAATGGGGTAGAAGCAAGTCACTTTACGCCACTGCTTTAATATGCGGAAGCCTTTTTTCAGATCGCCAAATCTTAACTAGACTTTTCAGCATTCACTACTGCGTTACTATGTAAGATTCAAGAAGCCATGGGGACATATGTGCACAAGGCACACTTCCTCATTTTCTATACGTCTGCAGGAAGTGCTACTACTTTTTGTGGTTCACTGAACTTTTAAGTAAAAGTACTTTAAAAGTAGAGCTAAGTGTCTTAAGTAGAAGTATCCATTCCGTGGATATTGTAACATTAGGAGAAAAAGGCAACAAACAGATAAAACAATAAGACAAAAAGATTGTATAAAAAGAACAACAATGAAATTGATTAAGGTGAGAAAACAAAACAAGCTTATTTGCCTGTGGCAGACTAAGAAGCAGAACTATCCACAGAGAGGTGTGTTGGGCAAAAAGACAGCAAGTTGACATCAGTTCATTCATGTGTAACCCCTAAGAATATTCGTAACTCGAGACATTGCATACTTAAGAAACAAAGAATCATCTCAGACCTAGACCTGCGAAGAAAACAGTCATGCTAGCTGGGGGGGGGTGAAGGCGTAAAAAGCGGAACTAGCTGTGGCGACCAGGTTAATCAGAGACAAACAAATAGCGGAAGGTTAGCGGAAGTTATATCCGGAAGAAAATATTTCAATTCAAAAACAATCCGTCAGTTGTTTTCAACACATTGAATATAGTAATGACCAGTAGCCCAGTACCCCCTACACCCTCATATTTCCGCGTGTAGCTTTTGGCAACCTCTCCATATCTACGTTTGCCTCTTACAACAAGTTATTCTTGTTCGAATTTTGCAAATCGCCCTTCGCCACTCTTGGACTCATGCCCAACGACCCCTTCCAAACATCGCAACATGCGTCAATGTTATTTTTAGTCAGGTAGCTAGACGTGTTCACTACCATACCTGCAGTAAGAAACAAATCGAACACCTTAACGTGAGAAATGACAGACGCAAATGAGTATCTACGTGTTTAAGAGGGACCAAGATGCATTTGACTAGTTTTAAAAAACATTCAAACTTCGAGGAAAGACGGAAGTAAATCGGCTATACCTGTGGACGGTGAGGAGAGACGGTACACACGGTAAGGGTTGTCTCCCTGCTCCTGGCTCTGGTCTCGCAGGTACGTGGCCTCAGTAGACTTGTTCATGGCGCACCTGAAGTTCGTCTTCCACCTTGAAGGATCAGGTGCGTCAACACCTTCGGTGTATCTTCCACTGTGGACCGCCCACGCCTGTAGGTTGAAGGCACCGTCTCCAGTCAGGGACATGTTTTACTAGTGGCGCTGTGTGTGTTGCGATGTGACCCGTGACGTTATGAGGTCAAAGTGTAATGTTTTGTTTATTCACCTGTATTGTGTGGGATTATTGTTCTTATAACTTTAGCTACGGCAGTGATATAGCAAGTTAAAGCCCGGTTACATTCGACGATATTCACTGTACGATCGTAGCCTCCACCAGGCCTCTCTACGGGAATATAGATCGTAGAATTCAGCAAAAAGGAGAGTAAAATTGGCCAGGGGAGTCCGGTTGTTTCTTTCCCTCAAGTTGTTTCTTTTCCTCAAATCCCAAGGCGGCCAAACTCCTCTGGCAAATATTCTCAGCCAGCGTAGTCAGTCTGGTAGAGACTACCGGATCGTAGTACGATGGGAACTATTGGAATAGTCGTGCATGTGTGGTACACATTTTAGCTGTCTCGCTACGGAAAAGGTATAAGTCTTCTTAGATCCTTGTCGGTGGTTTGTTCTGTCACGGACTAGTCTGCTTGAAGATTCAACAACATCATAATCATACGGCAGCCTCCGACAATCATACGGTGACCGCATCGTACAGGGAAAGACTAAGGAAAGACTCACAGAGTGGCTACGACCTCCGGCGAGTCAGACGTGCTATGACTTCACAAAGCCGCACTAAGAGACATGAACTGTCGTTCTTTCCTCGAGCGATTAAGTTGTAACCTTCAACAAATTTCATGTCGCAATTTCTGTGTACCTGTCAGTTGATTGAACTTGAACTTGAAACTGGTGAGGGGCGTGTGTAGGAAGTGTTTTGTAACTCATCATGAAACGTCGGTTTCAAAGTTGGTGTTGTTGTTGTACCAAGTCAACAAGCACTCCTACGCTTACGATGACTGATAAGCATGCCAAGAAACAGAGAAACAGGTAACTTGTTTGTTAGTAATACACCTTGTGTGGGGGAGGGGGTGTTGAAATACGACGGCGTGTTGTTGTAAAAAAAAACTACTTTGGACTGCGTGGGTGACAGCTAGGGCTACCTGCAAAACTTGAGAGCGTGGCAGGAAACGCCCCCCCCCGCACACGCACACACACGTACACACACACTGACGCGAAACTTTTCACGCCCCCTCTTCTCTCTTCGTAACGTTTGACTCATTGAAGCAGGCGTGACTAAAACTGTCCCTCTCACCATGACGAATCAATAGATATGTTGTGATAACTGCAAAAACACACGGACAGCCAAAAGTGTACTCTATTTACTAATATTCAGCTACGGATATCGAACCACTATTATTATCCTCCATTGCGTGATGCTTTGTTAACACAACAAGTTTAATAACAAATGAACTTGTTGGTAAAATACATTAAGTTTGAAGTTGGCAAAACAGACAAACAAAAAAGACACAAACAGGCAAAATAGCACACCTTGAAGATCGCCCCGTCTTGGTCCACGTCGTAGTCGTGTTGGCTCTTACGGGCCCACCGGATCTTGACGATGGTCTTCGCCCTGTCCTGCCAGCTCACCCCGGGCACTTCTCCCGAGTCCACCCGGTCACGGAGCCACGGGATCAGCTTCTGGCGACTCCTGGGCCTCAGTTGTGGGGACAGGCTCACCTCCGCGTCTAGGGCGTTTGCCATTTCTTGCTGCAGCCTGTGCTGGTCCATGGTTATCCTGAACAAGGAGGACATTTTTGTAAGTCCACGCTAGATAGAATGGTGCGCCCACGTGTCCACGGATGGGGGAACCCCCAAAACTTTCTTTAATATCGTCCAGTCAATACAAGTAGCAGTATAGGGGGGCGCATAGTTGCGGAGACATGGTGTCGTAAACAAGTTTATCTCCCAATCACCCAAAGTCTATGGGGGAGGGGAAAGGTGCACCCGGTGGGAGGAGGGGGATGGGCTCTGCCTTCCACGTACCAGTACCATGGCCTACATAGCCTGGGTGCCAGACTGTTGCCATGAGTAATATACAGGCTACTACGCGTACGGCTCCTCGGCTCCGTAAATTTTACCTAGATACCCCCTCGAATAGACTCGAGAGATAAACCACCAGGTGCTAACTCTGTGATCGGGGCTTTTGGCTAGCCTGGTTACCAGACCTATTATAGCTCCCAAGTCCTACATCCTCTCCACAAATTCATGGAACATTGTGTAGAGCCGGGGTCTGGCATCCAGGCTATGGCCTACACACGCGCAGCGAACTACAACCAACTGCCCTACAGCCTCAAAATTAATTGACCTTTACCTTTTGTGATCTTTTGTACCTTGGCATGCACGTTCGCGGGATTCAAAACATGTTCAACTGGCCGGTAGCAACACTAATCAACGGTTAGGAGCTACAGACACAAAACTGACTCATTCTTCGACCTATATATATCTACACGGTCTACTTAGATTTCACAAATTAACATTGGTGACAAACCACAAACCAAGCATGTTCGGAACAATGCCAATTTGTGGTACCGCCAGTGGCCATACAAGTGCCAAAAACCCCCGAATTATATAACACGACAAGTTGCATAATAACATTCTAATCTGATAATTACACTACATGTAAACAAGGTTTAAAAGGTACGTTCCATCGATTATTGTACAGTCATAGATTGTCGGGTATATATAGCGGTAACTATGATTTTTGTATGGGTTAACGTTGTTGAAATCTCGCCACAAGAATTATAACACGACAATGTGGTAGACCACCACCACAGCACAACCACTGAGTACGAGTATAGTAGTAAGTCATAGTTACTAAAATAAGATCGCGGTACAAACCAAGATTTGAACCTACTTGAGTTTACATTTCTAAGATTTTAAGACAAAATTAACGGTGAAATGATCCCAATCCAAAAGTTATATGAAAGAAAATACATTACGTTCCCTCTAATCCCGGCATATTGCAAAAAAAAAAGTCCAGGAAACTCACCCAAAGTCTTTTACGGTTCTGCTGGCGAACTTTCAACAGAAGGAGCACAACTTCTTCCAAAGTTGAAAGTTGTACTACTTACAAACAGGCAATGCATGCCAGCGCGGTCACTTTATATATACCAGCCCGGGAAACCCCCCATGACAAGGGGGGCAGAGCGAAACTACGAAGGTGTTTTTTCGTGATAGTGAGTCACTAGAAGTGGGTCAGTTTCTCGTGAGCGTCTGGCCGCGTTCCATCCAAGAAACCGTTTTGAAGGACAAAAGGCATACGTGTAGGCAGATCCGCAACAAAACGTACTTCTTACTTTATATTGCTGTATATCCAGCCAACGTTGGCTAGCCAAAGTCCATGCAGCGAGTTCGCCAAAACAAAGCCACCGAGTCATTGCAAGGACTTCCGGAGTATAGTACTTTTACTTTCGTTTTCGCCATTCAACTGCCTTGTTTTTACTCTCCGACAACAATTACATCGGTCTTACCTAATAGTGTGTCTAACTGTTGTAACACCTCCATGTAGTTTCATCATTTTAGGGGTTGTTGTCTTTGTTGGAATTTTCTTACGAGCAGGCGACTGTCAGTGATCAAGACTGGAACGCCGAGTCACATGATGTAATTTGCATAATGCAAAATGCATACAATAATAATTTATGTGTATGTATACTAAATGTAAACAAAGCCTTTAATAGGGCCTGGTTTCTATCTAATATTTTCCTGCTTTCATTTCTCCTCCCCCTAAGCTTGCCGTGAATACAGATGAACGTGCCCTTAAGCTTGCTACTTAAGATTTTCACTTTCGCCGAAACTGAGAGAACAACTGCTGTAGAGTATACACTGTTCGTTGGGGTGGGGAGGGGTTTTCCACTAGAACCTGAGACTGATCCTTTGTGCATTCGACAATGTTGTTTTCCAATGCTGCGGTGGTTTCGTGAACTTCAGCTGGCCTTTGGCAAAAACCCCTACTTTGTCCCTTTTCTTCTGAGGCCGCGACCACTGAGCTACCGTACTGAGCTACCAAATATCTCAGTAGTTTTGTTGTGTTTTAAATCATAATTTTGCATTATGGATCATATCCATATGCAATCAGTTTTAAAGACACAAGTCATTACAAATCGATCAATTTGGGTCGCTGATAACCTCCAAGCAGATCCCACGGTGACAAGGCAGTATCCATTCGCCTGTTGTGGAGCGCTTAGGTCGCTGGCATTCATTCAACATCCATGCCAGGGTAAATGTTAGCTTGTGAAAAGCGCCGCCTTCCGACCCTCAGAAAACATGCAAGAGGAGCAGTATACGTAAACAGTTCTATTTTTCACACACACAGTAAATGGATGATATCCCATGACGTAAAACATGCATATATGGTGGAATATTAATATGGAATAAAATCATAACGTGCAATTTGAGTCGCTATACTTGTTTTGAAGTCCTTGCCACTGCAACCGACTAAGTTCGACGCATGACATCTGTCACCAGAGTCAATATTGGCTTGACAAAAATAGATGCGAGGTGATCATAATGTACTGACAGGTCACGTTTGATAAAACAAAACATTTACGGTTAGAATGTGCTTCGTTTAACGAGTACATGCATTTCATTGATATTGTAGATGTACATGTGACAATGAAAGCTGGAGCTATTTTGATAGCCGCGCAATATGACACTGGAGAGCGCCAGGGTTTGACCTAATAGCCGTTGCCTGTGTGTGGTGGATATGAATCCTATTACTGACGTAGTACACAATGGTATAAATAGTTCACGGGCCATGTATGTACCCCACGTTATGACCCCCTCAGTATGTCACACACTCAGTGTATTATTTAAACAACATATTGCTGTTGTACGAGTCTAAAAGACGGGTCTCCCACAGTGTGGCATGGTCCTACGGAGATTCCTAAAAATGTCGCACCATTCCCACATTAACTGACCGTCCGCGTTTCTTGTCATCAGACCTTGAAGCAATGTTTGTTCGAGGTCGTTAATTTTTTTTCGGCTATTTTTAAAACCCCGCACGGCGCTGCATTGCTTACCGTATGCCACTGACGGGACTGACCCCGGGCTAGAGCGGCATAAAACTGTACGTACAGAGGTATAAACATCACCGAACAACATCAGCTGGAATTTTTTTGGACGCCGCGCGCCGAATTTGTTGTAGAGGAATTTTGCCTTATGTGACCGCCGGGAATCGAACCCAGGGACGGAAGCGTGCAGAATTCAACCATCGTTTGACATAGAGGTGACTCGGGGGGACGACACTGTGGCCGGTGGTGTGACGACAAGAGAGAGAGAGACTACCACAACCAGCAGCCATGATGACCGAAGTGTTACCGGACGAAGCCGACTGGACAGAGACGGAGACAGAGATTGAGATCGAGGTAGAAGACCTCGTCCCCAAAAGCCACTGGGATCTGGAAGCCATCTTAGACGGCAGGGACACGGGAGAGCCCAAGAAGAGGAAGATCAAGAAGAAGGTGAAGAAGAAGGTGAAGAGGAAGCCGAAGCCCAAACCGCCGACCCCGCCTCCGCGCCAGATCACGCCTTCTCCTCCGCCTAAACCCAAGACCCCTCCACCTCCTCCCAAGCCGAAAACTCCCGAGCCGTCGCCCGAGCCGATCGTGTACGTGGATGAGAGCTTGACGCTGAACGAGGAGGATGACTCCGGGACCGGGATGGGGTATGACGGCATGGGGGACGACGACGGGCTCGGGGCCGGGGACGGAGGGGACAGCGGGGCCGACACCGGGGACGAGACCGGCTTCTCCGAGGTGGAGATTCAGATGGCGGACGAGTCGGAGGCAGCGCCGGGGACCATGAGGTCTGTGTCTCAATGGCGCGGAGGGGACTGGGGGTAAGTTTCGATATACTTAACTACTCTACTTATCATTAAAAACTTTATCAACTGCATTAGCAACAGCCACAAGAAAGGAGTCAAACCACACTAGCTCAGTAACGTACGTAGGAACATCAGACAAATCTATAGGAGTCCTCTTTACATCGTGTGTGTTACCTTGCACTGGGCTTCGGACACAAGTTTGTAATATATTCATCTATAATTCTCTGAACTATAACATTTTTTGTTTCAAAAGGCACACAAATATACCCACGGTTGATAAATCATTCTTTTGACACCGACAGATACCATTGCAATTGTATCTGTATATCCGGTATAACAACACCAATAGACGTGCACTCTGGTGAACTATAATGTAGTGGAGAACTCACTGTGTTCTCTGGGTCCAACGTCGCCGAATTCCACGCCCATGTACGTAATATGTTGTTTGCACGAGAGAGCAACAGCTGGGTAGTAGGGGTGGTACAAGTTTGGAAAACAGTCCAGTATTGTTGTTTATCTACTGTTGTACACCGTAGTACACTATTATAAATCTCCAAGCAGATCGGCTTTCGGTACAAAGATCTAGATTGGTACCAAATTGGCTAGGGTAGTATCCATTTGTACCACAAAATATATACACATTGTACCAATACAATGCAAAAAAGAAAGCCCCAAAAATCACCTAAAACATGCCGACTCGAAGCCTAAACCTCTGCTTGGTGGTAGTACTACACTACATCGTCTTCTTTAGTGTCGGACATCGTGGCTGTTCGTGTAAGCTATCTTATCACACATCTCCCGCCATGAGAAGGCGGCCAATCTCTAAACTGCTGACCGAGTTTAGAAAACCCAGTCATGCCAATGTGAAGGACAGAGGAAAGTACTTACGTAGGGAGTGTAGGCTTACATCATACATACTCGTATTCTTATACAGACACGTTTTTTTTGCGCATAATACCTATGCATGCGTGCATGTTATACTAGTATTAAGTTAATGAGGTCCAATGCTATGTAGTGTTAAAATATGTCTTCAAGAAAAATTCCCATGTAGTTTTGTGAACGGGATTCAGTACTAGTATGCAGTAGTCTACTATTGAAAAAGATAAAATTATAGCTTACTACTACATGTAGTACTGGATCCCATCCACAAAACAAAATGCGGGTCTTTTTTTAAGAGAAGTAAAGGATCGGGCAATGCAGTGAACTGGCGACTATCCCTATTCATCTGTTTATAGTTGGGCTCGAAATTGGTCTGACCCCTTTGGCCTTATCACACAAACACACACGCACATTCCATCAAGTTATTCTGGTTTTCGAATTCAGGACTACGAGAACTACTAGTAAATACGCAGAGCCGCATCGAGACAAATAAAAGGCACTCATAGAAACATCATACTGCATCATTTGGAGCCCCAGTAGGGCCCCATGGCATGTAACGCGGGGAATGCCGGGTCCCTATAGTATACTGATACTGGTATTGCCCACCCAGTAAAAACCAAACACCGACGACCTCAAGCCATGTCATGGCGCGGCATTTTTAACACACAGAAACAGGGGGCGCTTCCGTGCGGTGCACTGAAAATTCAGCCAACATGCCCTTGAATTTTGAGGTAGATAAATCGTGTCATTCCAAAAGCTTTCAGCCATTGATATTTCCACAAAGGTACTGTGAGTCAAGAAGATATCTACGTAAATATTTGAGTACTTTTGCAAGGTTTCCAATCTTTAAGGTTTTGCAATAGATGCTACACTCTTACTGCTAGTAAGAACTAATATGACACTTAGACTAGAGCTGGTTTTAGGTTAAAGGCTCTGAGAAAAGATAGATACGTTGTTTTCCTGGTTTTAACCGTTACGTCTATGACACTAGACTGACGTTGTCACTAGGTGCTGTGTTCAATATACATGTAGGTAATCTGCCGAAGTTGTCCTTTCCTGAACTTGAAATCGATATGGGACGCCCATGAAATTGGAGACAAGGCAGGCCCAACTGACATTGACTTTACTCTGTTCCCTTCATCAAAATAGTTTTCCTAATCCGAAGTATCAGTGTGTCAGTTGGGCATGGCCCCTTAGAGCTGCACCTGTTGTCCCTGTGCGATATTTCCCCCGGTCACCAGGCAGGAGCATGTTGTCGTATGGGGTCTTGCCCCAAACTATGTTTATTACCCATAATCCCGTGCGCTGGGCAGCCATTCGGAGCGGGGTGACAGCGGAAGTGGAACTTATGACGGGCAGGTACAGACCTAAAATTCACATTTTTCACCCCATAATAACCTCCGATTTCCCAGATTTACAATCTGGGAGTTATAACAGGCTTGTCTCTGTGTCTGCGTGCCGCAAAGCTGCTTCGTTTCTCGCTGGTTTGACCGTTTTGCTGGCTGAATCGTTGTCGGGACGATCTCGCCCCTCCTCATAGTTAAACAGAGATTTATTTCTGGAACGATCATCTTTTCTTTTAATTTACTGATCCTTGCTTTAATTTTATCGCTCCTTTAAAGATTTACAGCGCAGCTGCTTTCATATCCTCATTATTCGTTAATATATTTGTTTGAGAAAAACATGGGTATGTAGAAAAATTAAGGAAATACCCCAGACCGTTAGTCATAGATTCCAGGACTTGATAACATTTAGATAAAGATTTATCTATCGCTAGCATATCAATAAGTTAATTATGATATCCTATAAACATATTAGTTTCACAGTTTGTGTAGAAACTGTTGAAAAAGCTGTATCAAGGATTGTCAGAGAGTTTTTCTTTCGTTGTTGACTTTATTTTTAGGGTTTGTCCATATTCAGACAGACCCCGACCGGTTGATGGATAACTCACTTCCGGTGTCTGGTCTGGCCGAATGCCATGGTCAAGACCCTAGCAACGCCCACAAGTCGGGATTCTGTTACATTTTCAAGTTTAAGGTCACATTTTTCATGTTCAACATCACAGTTCAGGGCTCGAAATTCAGGGTGCATATACTATACTATAGTCTGAAGTCCCAGGACAATTTAAAGTCATCCATTTCCAGGCCATCAAAACAAGAAAGAAATTTAGTAATTAGAATTTAGATGAGGAATCTGTCTGATATTGACATTTACTGCCATTTCTTATTACATTTTCGATATCTTTAAAGTTCCTGCACTTAAAGTTGTGCAGCCAAAATTGGAGTCTTATGACTGTGTAGGCCACCAGTGCACCTAAATATTTGTGTAGGATAAGGTTTCCTAGCATTTCTTTTTTTTTAAAGTTAGATGTAACATTAACAAGTCAAGGAATGGATTCCTTGAAAGGAAAAACTTGAAAAGAAAAAAAAAGACAGGGAAGTTTTGCATCCTGTTCACAAGATTGCTAACAGTTGATGACAGCTTCCTCTGACAGCTGACATAGCTTTCTGGTAGGGCTGACAAATCCGTTTACTCTTGTACTTGAAGTTGAACAACAGCCCTGCTTTCCAGTTACAATGCTTACTCTACGCTTAGCCAGTCTGATTTCTTGGTCTTCAGATTCACCACTTCATTTTCTTCTGATTTGAAAAGAAAATATTTAAAAAGCACATAATTTTCGGATCCATTCAGAATACCAATTGACAAAAGTTACCTTCCAAGTTTTCTACTAATAAGTCAATGAATTACAATTTCAAAATCCATTATTTGAAACCTTAACCAGCCTGGTATGTTGACATCGTGATTACATGTATTTTCATACATGTATATCCTGCCGACTCCAATATTATTTTCCTGAATAATTTGAACCAAGAAATCAAATTGGTGTTGCCCAAAAAATTCTTGAAACACTTCCCAAATCTGAATAAGGAACTGCCCTAGAATTTGAAGCGGAAGAAGCAAAAGGGGGACCTACACGTAATGTTACATGTACATTTTGTACTTTCATTGATATTAATAGTAAAGTATACATGTACATTTGTACTTAAATTGATGTTAATTTTACACAGAGATCCCAACCACTTAGAAAGGTTTATCAGCATTAGAAATAGGTGCTAATGTCCAACTAAATCCTTGATTGTGTGTCCACAAATAAACCATTACTCTACTTTTTAGATTGCATACATGTTAGGTTAATCAGGCCTCCACCCAATCTCCGCTATTTCAGCCATTCAGATTGAGTATTTGATGTCGGTGTTCTCTCTTTTACATGCAATTCTATCAGGAACAGATAGGTGGCCATGGATATCAGGTAACATGTACTGTTTGCTATGCTGCTCACCTATGCGTACCATTGGTACAATGTTGAAATACTGCTTCTAATTTTGTTCAGCACTGGGCTAGACTCAACAGTTCTGTTTGTTACATGTTGTTGAAGATTTACAATACACAAACTGTGTGTAGTAAAGTATTGAAAAACGTAATACAGCATATAACTCTTGTACAAGTTGTACTTCAATAGAAGATAGATATCTTACATATATCTAGTTTTTGTAATCATCTGGAACTTGCAACATCAGTAAGGTGTATACCCTGAAATACATGCTACTGGAAGTCATTTTAAACAGACATGTTATAATTGATAACACTACCAACAACAGTCACTTCTTAAGTTCTTCACCTCTGCTTTTCTTGCTCACCCAGCTTGTATTTACCTACTCTCAGTACAAAACTGGTTGGTAATATTATAAAGCTCTTTACCACTTATGTGACTTACATTGAATTCAGTAAAAGAAATGCTGTCCTGTTTTGTCCTAACTGTATTTTGAGAAGTTGACTTACTAAGTTACGTTAAGTTTTAGGATAATGAAATAACAGCTGTTTCTAGAGAGGTCATCTTGAATGTTGGCTGGTATTCAAATCCTTGTACAGTGTAGTGCCAGGTGTGTACATTTGTATACTCAACCTCAAGACTTTTGAAGTCTTTAAGTTCTTACAGTAACATCTTAGGAGACAAGACAGAAAGCCTACCATTATTTACTCAAGCTCCTCCATGTGCTAGTCTAGATCTGTCAGTACGTGCTGCATTCTTTGGTGTGGCCTTTTTTGCCCTCACCAGGTTCCTAGTGGTGTTGCTG